TACTTTCACTGTTTCCACACAATTGTACCGGTAGGATGTAGCAGTACGCTTCAACACTCGAATATTGCAGACAAATACAAACAATTATTTTCGATTGTACATGAACGGCCAGACAATTCTCGACAGCTCTCTCTTGCCCCACTGACAAGTAGATTGATTTGACGTACCTCAGATGTCTCTCTATGTGATAATCATGTACTGTTTATCCCTTTTTGGGTTCTTCATCATCTTCTTCTCGTTCTCCCTTCTCATCTTTGTTCCAACCAAGCTGAACAACTTCACCCGCTTTGTGATTCATGGGCATGACTTGACGTGAGTTCTTAATTTCAATTTTTCATCATTGTCTTTCAAGATCTGCCTTAACGCAACTCTATATTACTCTGGGAACAACACCAACTTTCCTGTTCCCATGTGTTTCTGGTTACTTAAGTGGTTTCCTCTCCGATTTCGGAATTAGACCTTTGGATCAACTGGGTATCCAAGTAACATTGATGAATAGTTCGCAACCAAGTGGGGTACTTATGACTTTCATTCATTTCAGTCAGTAAATCCTTCACTCTCCTTCTCAGTATCAATCGAACGTTCGCAATCAACACATGGATGAAGAAACATAAAAACCCAATTCTGATCATATTCTTCGTGCAACTGGTTGTCCAAGTCGTTGTTTTGTCAGTTGAAGGCTTCAAGTTGGAAGACGGCGGAGAAGCAGCACGGCAGACCTGTCTCGAGGTATTGATCTTTCTCCTTTGTTGAAACAGTTCTTCCAGATGATCACATATGAATATCCCAAAGAAATGTATACTCCCCGAGCATATGATGTATTGCTCCAAAATGAGAACGGCTCGCTATCCGCCATATATACGGCACTTACTTCTGCTTTTTACATGATTTTCGCAATTGTCTGTGTTGTTATCCTCATTCAGAGCATCAGAGAGCAAGCGAAGTCATCACAGTCGACTCAGTTCTTAGCGAATCAACGTAGAATCACTTCTGGGATTCTTTACTTCGTAAGCTTCCTCTCTCCTACTGAGACCAATGTTCTTCAGATGATTGTGGAGTTTGTTGGATTATTCTGTCCATATATGATCTTTTCGGCATGTTATTTTCTCAGAGTGGGGAATACAGGTAAAGCTTCCCTTGGACAACAACTTACACATTCGTACATTTCAGTCGTCTCTGATTGTTCCTTCATCATTATGAGTATATATCCCATATTTGGTCCATACTATGTTCTCATGTCCAACACAGATTACAGGAACAGAGTAAAAGGCATACTTAAAAAAGGTTGGTTCTTGAACCTACTTCCCGTTATAACTAGATCGAGCTGATACGAAACATTTTTCAGCTCAGGAACTGGGATCTCGTTCACCGACCAGTTGAGCGTTTGAGCATTCTACTCCTGAAACGATCATTCAAATTGCCAATTCATGTTTATTGAGCCCAGCAATCTCACACTGAAAAGATGGCTACAGACTCGTGGAATTTCAATAGTGCCTATAACGTCTGTTGTCATGACAGGAACAGTCGTTTCGTTCTCAACGTAGCCAACAACTTGTAGTTCATTATGAAAAATAAAAATAAGTTTCTTTCAACAGTTTGTACTGAGTGAGATATACACAGATGAGATGAAGATAGCAGAATCTTTTCGAATCAAAAGCATCCCGTTGTTTCAAAAGAGATTTACGCAGCAGAAGAAGGAATCCGCCGGCTCTTGTTCATTTGCAGAACTCCTGTCTTATCTGAATAATGGAGAAGCTATTTAATTAAATTTAGATATTCAGAAACAGAGTCGAAAGCACAATCTGGATATGTAAACGATTTTCAGGAATATGCAAGTTTTTTCATCGATCCGTGTCTGGGCAGACACCTTGTTTGGAAAAGTTCCAAAATGCACGACGTGCACTGAGAAACGTGCGTGCAGTCT